CGACTTCGCCTTCGACTTTCAAGGAGACATGGAAACCGGAGCACGCGTCCAAATCTTTGGAGCACCGTGGGCTTTATGAAGCTGGTGGATCCTTGTTCTGGGTGTGCCCAGTTGCTTCCAAGGAGACTGATGTGCAGGTCAGCTGGCACTCTGTGGTTAAAGGATGTGGCGTCCTCACAGTCAAGACCATGAGCACAGGGGCTCAGCGGATAGTCTGGCCCTTCACCCTCCAGTGCGTGACTTCAGGAGCCTTACCGTCGGATGACTACCCAAAGTCGTTGGAGCTTGTGCATGGGCATGTGCTCATCTACTCGTGGTGGCTGGAAGTTTACCGTGCTCTTCATGCTTCAGACTCAGCGAAGCTGACCTTGCTCATTGAATGCGCGCTCTGTGCGACTGTCCAGGTGAAGTTTGTGAAAACACGTTCGGCCGTGCTGTCTGCGGCCATTGAAGCTGCGTCAGAAACATGGGAGACGGCAGACGTGCTGCAAACTTCCTTCCACTCCTTCGCCTTCAAGCTGGGCGAGTTGATCGAGTCACTGCCAGCTGCTTCACGCTCTTCGCAGCGCAAGATGCTGGCCACCCTTAATGCCGACTACAAGAACCTAAAGTACCAAGGGAAGAGCCTCAACCAATCCATGCTGACCGCAGCCGTCGCCATAGCCTCCGCCTTCCCATCTGGGCAAAGTGGTGCTACGTTCCTCAATTTGTTCTTCCAGTGGCATGGGACTTTGCTATGCAATTATTCGCGCCTGTACAAGGTGACTACAACAGTTGCGGCATATGTGAAGGATCAGGAGAACGCGGACAGCTTGCAGCAGGCTGGGTTTAATCCGAACGTGAGAGTTAAATGATGTCATCATTTGTCATTCTTGAAATTCCGCGCAAAGCTGGCGCAGGCCTACTTGTCTGACATCATTGCCTTCCTCTTGCATGACTTGAAGCATGACGATGTGTATATTCATGAGCTCACAAGTTCTGATTTCTTCTTTGGCGGCGGGGAACACACTGGATGGCTTCCCATTGCCTTCCTGCGTATTGCCACCTACTCTTTCATCCGCAACATTGCCGAGAAGGCCAAGGCCTCCAAGGATTGCATAGACGGGATTGCCCGACTTGCGCCAGGACAATTGTTGTCAAGAGTGTAGGCTTTAGGTCAAAAATGTCGTACGGTTTAGGGTTTTTGTTCAACGTACGCAGTGCTATGTCGTTGATGCGTTTGCTGATCTAATTTATTTCCAGATTGGCTGTGGCAGGATCTGATTGGACTGAGCTGCAGCCGGCATCGCCTTCGCCATCTGCTGAAGACTCAGCCGAGCAAGCGGCGGCAGAACAGAGGTTGGAGAAAATTCTCCAGGCTGCTTTGGCCAAATGCGACAAGAAAGAGCATGGGCTGCTGCAACTCTGTTCAGACATAGTGGCCGGAACCTATGTCGAGGACTTGCAGCGCATTCTTGAGACCACCAAGTGCAACTATAAGTCACTCGAGCGTATTTTAAAATCATAGCGTCGCAAAAGAAATTTCATAAGCGCAATTCCTGCTATTAAATTTGCGTTAAAATATAAAAACAAAGTACATGAACCGCCACTCATGCTAAGGCAAGTCTTCGAGACACTTGAGAAAATGCCCGCAGACACGGACTTGGGTCGGAAACTCCGTGATGCATGTGCCGCCTTCGAGAGCCAAGCCGTCGCCACCGATGCCTCTGGCCCTCAACTTTCTGTTCGTGCCTTGGCTCGCTTGTCCTCGGACCCAGATGGCCCAGAGAAGGACAGATTGATGCGTGCAAAGAAGGAAAGGGCTGAAGTGTGGGCCAAAGCAGTGGCTGTGCGCAAGCAACATTGGCAAATCATCAAATGGTCCAGCGGTGGCAAGGCGCAAGAGGCCAAGTCCCAGCTCCTGGACCAGAGATCGTCTTCCAAAGTCGTGGTGGAATTGAATGAGCGCCATCGCGGGTATTTCCTTTCTGCGGATCTTCTGGGAGAGTCTTCCCCTCCCTGGGCACCAGGCGCTTTCGATCAGAAGCACATGGATAGATTGAAGGCGCTGGTCTCCGCTGTGACGGAGTTGGATGGAGAGTCCTCTTTCGTCTTCGCCTTTGACGGGCGCTCCCGGGAGAACAGAAAACTCATCGAAGAATCCTTCACCAAGTCCAAGATTGCCTTGACGGAAATGGCGGAGCTTTGGCTGTCCTATGACAAGGGCAAGCAAGGCAACTCTCGAGAAGTGTTCGGGGCAGACCATTCGCGTGAGGTATGCTTCTTGAAGTTGCCCTGTCCTCGCGTGAGGTTGGCGTGCAAGCCAAGAACAGACAAACACTGTCGAGGTGATTCGCCTTCGACTTCCGACTGTGTCTATCACGCCCTCCCTATGGCTGAGCAGGAGCAGCTGCCAAGGATCGCCCGCGACCAGAAGGCAAAGATTATGCAGCTGAAAGAGGATGCCCCGCCTTCCTGGAACAGCACTGCTGTTCCATTGTTTTGGAGCGAAAGTGTCTTGCTTCAATTTGGCAGTTTTTTCTAGATACAAATGCGAAAGCTAATTAGGTGTTGAACTTGGGACTTAAGGCAAAACTGTGGAGACCTACAAGATGTTCATCCAGAACTACTGCATCAAGGATATTGTTGACATGTCTCCAGGTTCTGGTGCTCTTGGAGCCGCCGCCCTCACGCTGGGAATCCCCATCACCTCCTATGTTTTCGATGACACGCACCAGACTTGGCTGCAGAATGTTGCTGACCTCAAGTGTGCCAAGTTGATTTGCGACAAGAACCAGCACCTGTACCAGCAAACACTCGCAGAGGCGCTTGCCAACTGGTTCTCGGACGAGCTTTCCCTCGCTCAAAGCAGTCCCAATAAAGAGACTGAGTGAGGAAGGATTTTATCTTGAAACATTTGACTCTGAGTTTGCNNGCAGGAAGGGGGGCTCTGTAACAGGAATTGTCTACGCATTCGTGCTGTCTTCTATTTCGCATTCTCGCCCGCCTTCTTGCAGTTGCGGCCATGTCTGGTGAGCTCGTTTTGGAGTCACAACGCAAACCCTGAAGCTGCTGCAGAAGAAAAATCCTTGCACCATATCCCATTGTTCGCATGAATTTCCATGTAGTTACATGTCATGGTTGCATTGATTCAAGTTGGCCTTGCCAGGTACTCGGCGGTTGATGATCTGTGTATGTGCGTGCTTGGGTGAAAAAGGGGCGATGCGACTAATATTTTTCAGATTGTCCGAAAGCAGCGGCCAG